TATATATATATATATATATATATTGTTCATTTATTACAACAATAAATAACTTGAAAATGGACATTTTTAAATTCATTACAAAAAAAAGTATGAAAATATAGAGAAAAAAAGGAAAAAAAGATATTTTAAAAGAACATACTTTTATTTCTCTACATTTAGTAGTTATGTACCAAAATTATATATTAAAATTAATATTCAATATTTTAATGATTTAAAACTCATTTTCAGGAAACCTTTGTTTTCTGTTTTTGTTTTCTGAATTGTGTCATTATTGTAATAAATGAGCGTGTATATACATACACATACATAACATCTCCAAATTAGTTACCAGATTGATATAAAATTGACGCGATGATATTCTTAATTAGAAACATGTTTGTCACAGCTTTGCGACATTGATAAATACGATATCGTTAACAAAGATTTTCCACGTATTTCGCAATGTCTCGTAACAATTTAATTATCGGGTTGTAAATGCCACCGGTCTCGAAGCTGTGCATATGTTTTACTAGCTCCTCGTTTTACACAACGGAAATTAATGAGAAACATCTCTCTTGGCGAGAGATATGACGCTTTGGAGCGTCAGATGTTTAATGCGCGCTTGGTTTAATAGGGGAGCTTTTCTCTTACAATTACGAAATATGAAATTTTCCGAATATTATTATTGATTATCCATTATGCAAGGAGTTTCAGATTCTAAACTTTTCTTAATTTGCAAATCCATTGATTTAAAATTGACTTTTCCATAATAAGAAAATAATTTGATCCTGTTTTTTTTTAAATATGTTTAATTTTAAATAAACTTTCAACCATTTGAATTATTATTGTTATTTAATTTCATGTGTAATTAATTAATGTCTATTAATTTTCGGAATTAATTTTGGAATTAATTTTCGAGTGTTTAAAAATGTTAAGATTGTATACGAAGAGTGTAAAAATTAATGGATATAACTTCGTGCTTTAGAATTTGAGTTTTTTTTTAGATATATTCTTTCCTGTTTTTCAAGGATCTATCTATACAAAATTGGTTTTGGGACTGGGAATTAGAGACGTTTTCTGCATATAACAATGAACTTTCCAATGTACGGCGTAGAACAAAAGCATTACATTGGTGCGTCTCGGGGGAAATCTTAATTGCTCGTCCCGACTTTGTTGTTCACACGAACCGAGACGACGAATCTGGTCCGTTTTCGGGTTTAGGATAATCAATTTGGGATGTTACCACTATCACTTACGGCGAACTCAACTTTACAATGCATGAACCATTCGTAACTTGCTAATTCGAATCCTAGCCTGTTCTCGATTTTGTTACTCCGCCAATTTTGGCCAGGTGCCAGATTCGATTTACTTATACAGATAACGGAAAAGTAATACAGAGTCTGAAGGAGAAATCTCATTGTTTATCCGTCTGAGTTTTGAAGTTGTTATGACAATAACGCTGCGTCGCATCTCAACTTCGAAAGTAATCCTTCCAGTTGAGTGAATTCGATAATAATTAAACACTCATTTAGAAGATTAAATCATTGAAATCACGCGGAATCGAAACGTCCAAAGTTCGAAAGTCAATTGATTTTGTAATTCGTAAAACGTTTTAAATAACTATATTAGTTTAAAATAATTAAATATAAAATAATTAAAAAATAATTAAATAGTCAATATATCTAAAGATTTTAAATGTAATGTTAACAGAGTACGACAAAGATCGATTTTTCCTCTCATGAAAAAATTAAAGAGATTCTGGAAGTAGATGTAAAAAAAATACTCATCTTGGCGTTTTATCAGATCAAGTCATTAACGTTTTTTATGCAGCTATTTATCATTTGCTTCATATTGGCTTTTTACAATTGTTTTAAATTATATAATAATTTTTTAAAATAAATAACATAAATAAATTTACGTTTTTGCATGTGAAATTATGCGATGAGAAAATTTGAAAATATATGAAAAAAAATAATTCTTAGTTTTTTTTTTTTTATTCGAACTCGTCGCATAATTTTACATGCAAAAACGTCAATTATTTATTTTAAAAAATTATTATATAATTTAAAACAATTGTAAAAAGCCAATATGAAGCAAATACGATAAATGGCTGCATAAAAAATGTTACTTAACGACTAGTAAAACGCCGAGATACAGGTTTTTTTTCATCTATTTTCAGAATCTCTTTGATTTTTTCATGAGAAGGAATGTGCGTTACTGTGTAATAAGATTTGTTTCAGGATAATGTTCAAAATTGAGAGAAAATCGTGATCTAATACAGATTATAATTTTGGCATTGTGAATTCGATTACCGTTTAATATAGTTTCATATGTATAAGATGTAAATGAATGCATTTACATACTTTTTACTCATAAAAAGTTTCTGACCGTCGCATGACGTAAAGTCGATTAGGTAGTCGATAAAAAAAAGGCAATTCACAAGACTGTGTTGTTCCAGCACTTTTGCTGCTGTACGACGTGACGAATAAGACGAGTTATGACAACATCAGGGCTTGGCTAAGCGAAATCCGGGAACACGCGAACGAGGATGTCGTCATCATGCTGCTGGGTAAGTTGCGTTTATATTTATGGTTCCCGTGATGATACGATAGATCTGCCCACTTGGAATGGTCGATCGCCGGGAGGTTAAACGCCAGAAATAAGGACCGCAGTAATGGTTTAGCGCGCGGAGATAAGAATTCAGGAGAGCGATGACCCAGATTTAATTTTATCGGTCAGCTCGTCCCAAGCAGATATATACATCCAGTTATCGAATCCAATTTAAATAAAAAATTTACAACTATATATATATATATATATATATATATATAACAATCCAGGTTTCTGGAAGGATCGAGTTCAACTAGTAGCGTTTCTGTTTAATGCAATTTGGACTGCTTCGGAAAGCAATTAAGATCAATCTTTACGAACTCACATTCGGCCAGAAAATGCATTCGTTATAAGTACAAAAAGAATATGAATATTATCGATCATTCGTAGTTTTATGTGTAATTTTCAATTTTCAATTCCAAATCCAATATTCCGAATATATTTCGTGTGGATTTCTGCCTCACGTAAATTGACTTTTTTTTGCTCATAGGCAGTCGAGATCGCAACGATTGAGAATGCTGTTAACTTTATCGTGAAAAAGTTGGTGATATTTTATGATAATTTATCTTCTCGTCGCTGTATTAAATCATAGGTAACAAGTCTGACTGTGGGACGGAGCGTGCCGTTAAGCGGGAAGACGGCGAGCGATTAGCGCAGGAGTACAAAGTGCCGTTCATGGAAACGTCTGCCAAGACTGGCCTCAATGTCGAATTGGCATTTCTCGCTGTTGCTCGGTACGGTCTCGACAAAATCGAATCTACATATAGTGTGAACGAACAATGCTTGAATAAACAATGCTTGAACAAACAATGCTTGAAACTGCACTGATTTTTAATCAATTTCACGTCAACGTTTTTTTTAACTTCAATTTTTTTCATGTATCTTTGAAATTGGAAGTTTTTAAACTCAAAAACAAATAAAAGATGGACGATTTTAAAATAAAAGTTATTTGAGCTTAGAAAATGTTTCATGTATTTATAAAAGGAAGATTAGAGCTGGATAAAATTGATGGAACTAAACGATACCGCTTGTTTTCAGGGAATTAAAGGCTAGAAAAAGCGACAATCCTGATGAGACGAAATTCAACGTTCAGGACTACGTGCGTCAGCAATCGCAACGAAGCTCCTGCTTCAACTCCAGCTGCCTGACAACTTGAACTGCTTTCTTTTTTTACGTTAATTAAGAGAACGCGAACTGGAACCGCGTTGGTCGCGAGGAGATATGGCGCGAAATTGCCATTGTGAGCCAGGCATTCATTTGATTTCCGCTTGAAAGAAAACATCGGTATAACATTCGTTGCGAGACGATGTAAATTTTATACTCGATTCATAGAGTAATTTTGCGAATAAACCACAATGCAGGCGAAGCGATTCAAGTTCATCGGGTGAATCGAAACCACAGTGTGTATCCAGTGGTCAAGATATTCGGGAAACACAAGAAATTATTTCGTTCAACAAAAAGTCATGAATATTAACATAAACCGCATATGTGATATCAAAGGCTCGATGAGTACGAAATCGTTTACGCTTTTAAAAGAATCAAGGTCAAAGAATTGAATTGTTTTTTAGCATAGCGTCAGAGAGAACATGGCGTTCTCATTAACCATAAGTAAACATGTGTCAATGATTACTCGCACACATTGTATATTAATGTGAATAGTTTTAAGATAGAAAGAGTTTCACACGCAGGATACTCCCGTAGATAAGGCTTTAGCTTGATGGTTCTAATTTCATGTACGCTACATCCGCGTATATATGCGCACACACACACACACACACACACACACACACACACACACACACACACACACACATGATATATATATATATATATATATATATCATTAAGCACTCAAAGCGATCATTAAACGATTGTTGAGCATAAGTTGTAATATCGATTGTCGTACACCGATTCCGTAATCGTTCGTTACGTTATGCTCCATTAGCGTTTGCTATTCGCAACAAAGGAGCGCGAATAATCTTCGATTTGCATACAATGTGCTTATTACGAGTTATAGCTCGACGCGGTTGTTTCTTTCGCGGTGCCTGCGTGAGCGAACAAAATGTCAATGCAAGTTTAGTCGACGTATCAAGTAGTTGCGAAGTAGCGCGTGTCGAAAGAGATAGAGAAAAAAGAGAGAGAGAGACAAAGAGAAGTCACATCTTGTAGGAAGAATGTTGAGAAAACGATTCGCAGCCACCATCGAACAGATGTGGCACACGAATACACTCAAGTTTTCCTATGATTACATCCTCCTCTCTTCTTTCGTTTTTTTCTTCTTTGTAGCCTTTGATGAGAATACGTCACAGACTTCTATACGAATACTATTCTGATAACTGCTAGTTCTGAAAGACGAAAATAAGATAAACAAGAAGAGGGATAGCAATTATTTTTAACGAATCCAATCGTCAGCATTGAACCAAATCTTTTTTTTAGAATAATTTTTTTAGAATAATAAGAAAAGTTTATCCCAATACTATTTCACCAGATATCGTTTGTCTTTGAATCGACTTGTTGACAAACCGCGAGACTGTTGGCGATTTAGACAGTCTATAGAAATCTGTGAAGTACATTTTATGTTCGCTATTAAGCTTATGAGCATGTTTTATAATCGACAAACTGATATTTATGTAATATTAGAGAGAAATACTAATACCAATTGATCGAAGGGAAAATGGTTATCCGTGACAACAAAGGAATCAGGAAATTTATCGATCGTTATGATGTCAGAGTTCTAAGCAAAGTTGAGGATCGCTGTCTGTTGAAGAGTCAATAAGCTTAATACTGTTTAATAAAGTTCTACCGATGTTATTGCGAAGAAGTTTAATGACTCTTAATTTTTCTAAGCCTCTATTTTGCGATAGAATTATTGGAAAATACCAAAGACGTACGGATGTTAATTTTATAGTAAACGGAAATCCGGGAATTTAGAGTCGGTTTAGATTGAAAGATTATATCACGTATGTTATACATCCTGATGTATATGACGTGCAATCTGTTTTACCTGCAGTGTACAAATGACAATTTCGTGTATCAAATATATATCAGAAGGAATATATGAAATAAAAGTCGACCAAATATACAATATATACCTTTTTAATATTCCCATTTTGTCTCCCGGTCATCACAATTTTCACGAATTAATTGTTTTTTTCGATTTGAACTTGAATAAAAACAGAATCGTCGAATTTATTTATCTACTATGCGGAAAACAGAAATATTTTGTGTTTGATTAAAAAATACAGACATTTCCTCAAGCGATTATTTTTAATAAAAACAAAATATGAATGATATCTTTCTGCAATTTCTTAGAAGATAGATAACGGATTGCAAAAAACTTCCATGAATTATTAGTAAAGTAAATTTATTACAGTCTTAGCAGTTTTTGTATTTTTTGATCTCAGTTATAATCATGCAATTAAGTAATTATATTCCAAGCATTCATGTCTAGGGGAAAGTAAAGAAATGATACGCAAGAGGTATAAAGCAATCTGTGCCGGAAGATCTATACGAGATTCGCCGCGCGCGGATTTCTTATTTTTTATTTAATTATATATTTATAATATATTTATAATATATTTAGACCTGATTGCACCAATGTTACTTTGACTTAAGCGAAGCTTAAAAATCTCTTTTTTTTTTAAGCCGATAGAGAGTCAGAAAAGGAGAGAATTTTAAGCCTCGCTTAAAATTAAACATTGGTGCAATCGGACCTTAATTATATAAATAAAAAATATATAAAAAATAAGCTTTAATTTCCGCTATCTTGTTCCATCTATTTCATTAAACATGTGTACAATTCTTAGGTGACCTCGATTTAAATTTTAATTATCTTAATAGGCGATTAAATTATAATTGAAATTTGGTCGAAGTTATTTTCATTTTCTCTTAGTATTTTTAGAGTGCATCTCATTTTCTTTTTTTCTCAATGTTGATTGTGCGATCATTTAGTGTGTATATTGAGTGTAAATGCATGTGAATATCTGTGTGTGCTCGGATCCGTGGGTACAATCAAAGCTAAATGACCATGCAGATCAGATCAGAAAGAAAGAGAGAGAAAGTATATGTTGAACAATAAATTTATATAAAATAGATGCAGGATTCTCTCTTATGATAGAATGAAGCCGATAGAACGGTGAAAGATACAAAACATTGGTGAACCTCTATCCTTCTCTTACACGCATATTGACAGTAATGGAGAAGAATAGAGATTTTTCACTGTTGTTTTGCTCTCACTCACTCTCACTGGTTTGTCAGATTTACTTCTACCATAGGTTTATGCTAGATCTATTTTGTGAGTCTGTTCTTTTTCTCTCCAACATGGAGAGAAAAGAAAAAAAAATGAACCATGGAAAAACTTTAGTTAAAAAGAACAGATCTTATGGATGAGAAGTCAACGAAAAATCTCTTCGATCGGAGCAGCATACGCATGCGTAATGTATATCATTGATCATGTGATCAATCTCGACAGACTTGTGTTCCAATAGCTGCGTTCAGCAGATAAAGCAGCTTTGAAACTGTTATAAAATTCTTTAATATGATTGGTTTATACATTTAGATCTGTAAGAAACTAAAAGCAAGAACCAATCATAGTAAAGATGTTACAACAGATTTTACAACAGTTGCAAAGTTGTTTTCTCTGGTAAACGCGGCCATTGTTGCCCATAGTGCTTCTTATAATTATGAAAAATTTTTGTTGTTGTACGACAAAAGTAATACTAATCTAATATTTATTTATCATACAACAAAATTTTCGAGTGTATTGATTGATTACAAGATAATGGATTTCTAGAAGAACTGTTTCTCAATTACACACGATGAACATATTTTTCGTTATACGATAAATGAAATATTAGCCTAAGGCCCCTGGATCTGATCGGACATCTCTGAGCGCAAGGTTCGCCAAGCCAAGCGATCTGATCACGCCATCTTGGCGCATTATCGGCAAGTTGGACGCACGGAAACGGTGCTCGCTCGCTTGCCTCTGCCCTCTCCAGTTAGTCCAGTTCCGGTCCGGCGTCCGGAGCCATTTCTAATTCTAATATTCCGTTAGCGTATACGGCATAGCGTATACGCTGCAAACACAACGTGTCCCTAACCTGGGAATCTTTGAAAGACGGGTACGTGGCGTCGGCGTCGGCGACGGCGTCCTAATTGTGGTGTCGTCCCGCGCCGTATTAGCGTAGTCTACAATGGACGAGAACGTGGTGGAGATTGAAAACGAGGAAGCGATCGAGAACGTGGCGAATGTCTGCAGACTGTGCCTTTCCACGGATGGACCTAGAGCTTCGGTGTTTGGAACGCAGGAGAAAGAGGAGTCGTCCAGCGTGTCGCTGGTTGCTAAGATTCAGGCCTGCCTGTCGATTCAGGTGCGTATCTTGTGCGACTTCCATTCTTTTTCCATAGGAGTCAACGGGATTTCCTGACGCGGAAGTTACGATCATTCTGCAACCGAGTGCGACAAAGCCTCGCCGAAGTATGCCACTTCGCGACGCGTTTTGAGGTTATGTCTACATAAATGTCGATTCAGAATCGAGAATCATGCAATCGGGCTGCTCCTCCCAATCGCATTACTCGTGTCTCATCTCTTTTAATCTCCTGCCTTCTTTTGCGATGAAGCGTAATGATAGCGTCTATCTCATTGCGAATAAAACATTTTAAGTGCTCTCTTGTATACGTCGCTTAATTAAGTGTTTAAAGTTTGGAAGAAGTGATATATGTTAGGATATAAAAGAATTGTTAAACAATATCAGTTGATAGAAACGATTTCAGAGTGAGCATTGTATTATAAGAATGTTTAATACTGATTTTTTAAATATTAGGAATTTAACAAAAATGTTAAAAATTGTTTTTCATATGTTCGGAGACTTATGACAAAATTCGGAATACATTTACTGAAACGATCCAAAGTTAAGGATTTTAATTTGCAACGAATTTATTGAATACCTATTTTCAAAATATTAGGAATTTAACAAGAATTATACGGATTGTTCTATTTTTATGTCTGAGTATTTATATAAAATTTAAGTACAATTCTCTTATTAGTTTAAAAATCTTATGTAAAATCATAATTTGATGAGGAAGTAATATTAAGGGAATTAAATTTTATATATTTATTAATCTTCAAACCTCCTTTGAGATGTTTATTGATGATACACAGGTGTGAATTGGAGGTTTGATATTTTTAATTGCAAGTCTCTCTTGAGAATTAAAACAGAAATTTTTTTAAAACCACTCTTTTCTGAAGTATAATTTTCTCATAAATCCAATGATATTACTCAAATTTAATGAAAAAGCATATTTAACATAGTGAAGATAAGCTGCAGCAACTGTTTATGTGCAACTGTCAGCAAATTGAAAATTTTCGTGGTGCGAATTCACACTAGTGTATGGTTGAACCTTGTTAATAAAACAACAATAAATATTTATAAGTTTATTTAGATCCACTTATTCATTTCAAAGTTATTGACCTAACATTGCAAAATATGGTCATTTTGCTGCATAAAACCAATGGCTGCGTTCAACAAAGAAAGCAACTTTGCAAATATTATAAAATTCTTCAATATGATTGATTCTTACTTTTAGTTCCTTATGGATTTAAATATATAAATCAATCACAATGAAGAATTTTACAGCTGCGAAACTGCTTTCTCTGCCGAATGCAGCTATTATAAATCAAATTGTTTTATTTTTTTGCAATTGATTTCATGAGCTAATATCATCAAAATTTTTTAGTAATATTGGCTGATATTAGCTATTTTTGGCTGATTATTAGACTGATGCTTT